AACTTTTTGATATCAAGTTTTATGTTTTTCTAAAAACTGCTGTTATTTTTTATAACATCAACAACTTTTACTTTTTTGAACGGAACTGCTCATTAGACATTTATAACTATCAAAACTGCTTGTTTTGAGCATTTTAGCACTTGCGCTTCCATTTTTGAGGTCATTTTAAATAACATTTACTTTTTCTTTAGAAAAAACTAAAGTTCTTGCATTATATCAAAAGAAAATTATTATATTTAGTATTATAAGGATAAAATTGTAACTCAATTTGCAAAATTATATTCATTTAACTATAGGACGAGATAAACATGGAACAGATGTCTTTCGAGGACAGGCATTTCAAGATCAAGAATTGGTTAACTCTGAAATAGCTCAAAGATTGGATTGTTAAAAAAATTTTTGGCTCGTAAAAAAATTATCGATGGTATTAATTTATTTAACAACACTGGTTTACTAAGCAACGAAAAACGCAAGTCTCGCGAACAAAAGACAACCCCCAGAGAAGATGGAGCCATTGTCGGTCTCGTTAAGCTAAATCCATTTGCTGGCAAACCACACACTCAAATACGCATGTTTAGTTAAAAAAATGCCACTGGTTTATGATAACAAAAAAAATATTAAGTCTTTATTAATAATCTAATCTAATATTTCTTAATTTAAACTTTCCACCAAAAATTCTGTCAAAAGTCCCTTACGTAAAAATAAGCTATTTAGAAGAGTTGCCCGAAAAAAACCATTGGTCTCAGAACGCAATCTCATCAGTCGTTTAAAGTTTGCAAAACAACACGTACACAAGAAATTTTGGATCAAAATAAAGACTGCTTGGGACACCATTACGCCTAAATAATTCTAAAAATTATTCTTGTCAATGTGCCGTCGTTGTCAAGTAGTTATTGACTCAAAAGGATACCTTACTAAATATTAATTTACCTCAAATAAAGTTTTCTTAACTATTTATACAAAGAACTTCTCTGATTTTTATACTAAAGGGACAAAATTCTTTAACAGGGTGTGCTATTTAAATTGTCCCCTTATTATACAATAATATATGAGTCTTTAATTTGATCCAATATTGGTCTAAATTTGTTAAAAACTCCGATTTTTGAAGCTTTTAAAAAGTTATTTAAACAATTCAAAAGTTATTGAAAGCAATTCGTTCACTATGACGTATCATAAAAATCAAAATTGTTAGATGTAACACGAGGATTTCTTCAAGAGTCTGTCCTAGGACCTCTACCGTTTCTTATTTACGTAAACGATCTTTATGAAGCATCTAATTTAATGACAATTATGTTTGCTGACGACAACTTTTTTTTTTTATCTCATTGTAACATAATGACACTATTTCAAAGTATAAACATTGAATTAAATAAAATTTCTGAATGGTTTAAATTAAATAAGCTTTTTCTTAATATTGAAAAAACAAAACGGTCTCTTTTTCATCCATACTACAAAAAACATTTTCTACCAAGTGAATTGCTTGTTCTTCTTATAGATGACATGCAAATTAAAAGAGGAGCGGTTAAAAATTTTTTAAAGGGTTTTTATTGATGAAAATCTGACATGGAAAAAACACATTGAAAACTTATCCTCTAAAATTTCCAAACGTATAAGAAATACTATTCAAAATAAAAAGCATGCTAAATAAACATACTTTAATTCATCTTTACCATCTTTTACTCATTGCCATCGAAAGTATGCTAATGCGGTTTGGGGTATTGTTACCAAAACTAAATAAGAACCTAAATAAGAATTTCAATACACTTTACTTTAAATTTGCGGAAAAAAACCCCCAATAAGTTCATTTGAAAGATTCCGTATTATTGAAAGTATTTTAAAAAGTTGTTAAAAGTGGAGTCGGTATGAGAATAAGCTGAATAAAATTAAACGCTGAATAAACAAAAAAAGTTTGGACGTCCGTTGGACCCCCAAAAGCGTCTATTGTGGGCCTCTAAACGGAATGTTTTGGACGTCCTTGGACACACTTTAGAGGTCCGAAATGGACGGACGAAAATTGTTTCATTTATTACGTCTAATGTACGTCCAAACAGACCATTTTGGGCGTTCTTCTACAATTATTAGTGAAGAAACAACCAGAAAATAGGCAATCCTGGATGGATGGGAATTAGTCTTTAACTTTCCTATATCGCAGAATTTATTAATAACATTAGAAATACAAATGTATATGTATTTCACATGTTTTAGTTTTATATAAATTATTACTATAGAGTCGCTAATAAAAAAAAAAAGGGGGGGGGGGCGACGTTTATTAATCAAAACATTCTCCCACCCACTTCAAGCTTATTAAGACCCCCTCGTTTATTTCTTTTTACTTGTTATCAAAAAAAAAAAAAAAAAAAATCAGTGAAAATCGGTCAAAATTAACAAAAAACCACCAACCAAGTAAATCTTAATCGGAAATGAGCTTTTATTTCTCATCAAACTATAAAATTTATATCAACATATTAAATCCTATTAAAATTATCACAAAACAGCTGTTATAAAATGCGCAATTTATCGCCAGCCACGCTAGATTTAAATAGTTTCATGCGCGTTTTGTAAAAAATATTATTTAGGATTTATAAACTGAAATTTTTAATAAAAAATACTTATATTGTAACATAAAAAAATCCCCCATATCCTATATTGACCCCCCCTCCCCGTTTATTAGATCTGGTCTAAAATCCCCCCTCTCATACCGTTTATTCCCACCCGAGATGATAATACATGTCTGAAATTTTTTTTTTTTAATTTGCTCATGCAACTAATGTTACTAAATAATTTAATGAAACATTAGCAACATGAAACACTAGCAACTTATAACTAATGGCACTTTACTAAAGAACCTTTCTAATTTAAAGGTTAACCAGTCAGCAAAAAAAAAACACGAGAGAACTGAAATCGGTATTTGTGGCTAAAAACCTAGTTCTGAGAGAATGTTAACCATAGTAACCATAGTAACCATAGTAATAATTTCAACAAAGTTTAATACTTATACTTTAATACTGCAAAGTTTGCTCTAAAAAATTGTTTTAAATCACCCTGTGATCAAAAACATACTTTTCATCTAACAACAAAAAGACTCGACATGATTTATTGTTGTTCCAGTATTAGGATCAATAAACAGAATGGCATTTGTTTTAATTAAAATAGGAAGGTCACTGATCCAAGTGTATCCTTCTTTATTTTTATTTATAAAAGTTTTTTATTTTTTAGTAGTTACATTAAGTGCCCAAAAAAATCAATGTTTTTAACGTAATAATTGACACAATACTTTTGTTTGATTAAAATTTTTATCTATCTCTCTGATGAGCTCTGAACCACCTAATTGATTCACAGCAACAATAACCATAGTTTTGAATAAAAAATCGTCCTGGAAACAATGATACCAGTTACTTAACTGCTCGAAAGCAGTTTATTTCTCTAAATGACGGCTTTCAGACAAACAAACTTAAAATATCATGTGAAGTTCCACAAGGCTCCATCTTAGGTCCGTTGTTATTATTAATCTTTGTCAACGAACTATATCAAGCATCAAATACTATGTCTACTATTATGTTTTCTGACGACACCACTTTATTCTATTCTCACAGTAACATTATCTCTGTATTTTAAGTAGCAAATAATGAACTAGAACAAATATCAAACTGGTTTATAGTAGTGCCGGATCAAGGGGAGAGGGGCTAGGGGGCTATAGCCCCGGGCCTCGCAAGTTTAGGAGCCTCCAAAAATTTTAGAGGACCTTTCTTTTCTTAAGTCATTTTTAGGCTCTGACCCATAAAAAGGCCTCCAAAAACAAAAATAGCCCCGGGCCCCAAGAACTTTTAATCCGCCACTGGCTTATCGCTAACAGCCTATCTTTGAACACTGATAAAACTAATTTTTCCTTATTCCATTCTAAACGAAAGTTTCAATATATTCCAAAATCCTTACCAATGCTATATATAAATTACATAAAAATTGAGCGCTCATTCACAAATAAATTACTTGGTATTCTAATAGATAAAAGCTTATCCTGGAGAGGTCATATTATATACTAAACATAATAGCAATTAAATCTCAAGAAATATTGGCATTTTATATAAAAACAGACAAATCTTAGACAGATCTACACTAATTCAGCTATATTTTGCATTCATAAATAATTATTTATCTTATGGCAATATTGTTTGGGGTAGTACAAATAATTCTAAACTTGAATGTCTCCTTAAACAACAGAATCATGCAGCACGCATTATTCAGTTTCAAAACCGCTTCCCAAATATTAAACCTCTTCTGAAAAGCATGAAGGCACTTGATATTTATGAACTAAATATTTTCAAAACTACACAATTTATGTTTCAACATCAGTCAAAATAAATGCCGAAGGTTTTCGAAAATATTTTCCCTTTCCTAAAGCCTCTCAAAATTTTAAAAAGAACATAATCGAACTTATTGCCAATCAAGATTCTTTACATAATTTTTTCTAACAATACACTTTTATTTCCAATTTTTATTACCAAAGGTTACTGATGATAATATTTTATCTACTTCAGGTTCTCTGGTCTCGTAACTACTATAAATAATGAATTGTACTTGTATTTAATATTTTTAAATATTTTATCGGAAATGACCTTTAATTGTATATGCTTGACAAAAATAAATAAATAAATTAAAATAAAAAATACCACAAAAAAAAAAAAAAAAAAAAAAAAAAAAGTCGTTTGCGGAATTTACCAATTGTACTAGACATTTGGCGCCCCACTCAACTTCAAACAAAAGCTTTGTTTGAAGTTTTTTGTTATAAACAAAACATGTTTTTATTTTCTTGGAAAGTTAAATTTATGTTTGAATTATTTGTGATAAAAATCGTATTATTATTAAAAAATTTATTGCACTACTAAGATTATTTTCATTGATATATTTTGAAGCTAGTAAAAAAGAAACTATTTGTTGAGTTCTTGCTTTTTTAAGATAACAAATTTGTCGAAAACGAAATCAGATTTAACACGCAGTTGGTGCAAATAGAAACTTAGTCAAGTTAATGTTGTTTTTGTAATATAATTTGTTGAATATTTTAAAATTTCGCACTTTTTTCAATGTTGTGAGTTTCACACTTTCAATGGGTGTGAAAATTGACATTAACTGTGATGTTAATTGATAGTTATTAAATTTAATAACTATTGATGATAGTTATTAAATTTAACAACTATTATCAATTTATTTTTAAATACACAGACTAACAATAAAAAAAGATTAAACAGTTTTGTCTAGTTTTTTCTTGAATGTTTAATATTAGGTTGGTTTCCCTGATAAATGGTGCAACTGTTTGTTTTCTTCCAGTTAATATAACCTTGTTTTGCAGTTTAAAGTTTTTGTGAAAAAGAAAAACACGAGACTTCTCAAAAAATTGGAAACTTATCAAAAACTAGTTTATAAGGTGTTCTGTTACACAATCAAAATACTTAATTTATAGATTAATTGTCTATTTCACATCAGTTTATATAAAGTTTATATGATCTTAAATCTTAACTAGATTTTAAAGTTTAATATGCAGCTCACAATTGGGTGCTATGAAGAGATTTAAAACTTGTAGCCATGTTAACCAAAAGAGTTTACAAATTTTTTGCGATCAGAATTGGTCCAAAAAAAAAATAGCTCACAAGAAAGTTGTTGACACCAGGCAAAAAAAGTACATATTGTATAATACTTTAGTAGATCTATACAATATACTTTTACTACCACTACATATTAAGTTTGACTTGATCAAACAATTTGTTAAAACAATTTAAAAACTTAGGTATTGTGTGAGAAAGGTAAGGGGAATGGTTTCATCACCGCATAAATTAGATTAAAAAATAATAATGAATATTGCAAAATAATAATAAAATGAGCAATTGTTTTAGGTCACTTTACAGAGATTAAGAGCAAAAGTAATATAAGATATATAATAAAGATAGTCTGCAGAGAAGAAGATTAATTAAATTATATCTAAAACCTGTGTATCATCGTAATATAATATTAACTAATATAAAAATTGCAACTTAAGCTATAAATTTTATGTGTCAAGTTTTTCCCATTTCAAAATATAGAATTTCATATTGTATGAAAATTTTGTGCAGTTAAAAAAATATATATAAAAATTTTGGTTATATATGGTTTCAGCACTCAAAGCTGCATAAAGTTTGATTTGTTTGTTGGACAAAAATGTATTGACAAACATTGTTTTAGATTTTTGAACAAAAAGTTTTACATTGTTATTTGTTATTATTGGCTGTGTTATTAATAAATTGATATCATTTTTGTACTAAATATCATTTATGACATACATATGTTGTTAATCTGCAACTCTTAAGTTAGTTCACTGTTAACACCAACCAAACATTTCTTAAGATCAAAAAATTGTCTTCATATTGGTTCTACAATTTATTATCTAATATACATCATATTGCCTTTTTCATTGAAGCTATTTTTTTAATGGTGAAGCTGCTTTTCAACTTATTTGATTTATGATATTTAAAAATTTTAATCAAATGTTTTTATGAAAATTTCAAATTTTTAATAAAATATTGAAAATTTGGCATTTTAAAAAGATGTTTACGTTTTTCAATATTTCATGATATTAAAATTATTTTATTAATAAAATTATTATTATGATTGTTATAGGCTTTATGATATTTAGGTTATGAGATATGGAAAGTATTTTAATAATGTATATAATTTGGGTGACCATTGATAATGTTTTACATAGTCCGCGCAACTAAATATTATATTTTTAATTGTGTACTCATATGTAAAAACTGATACAATGGTCACACTATGTATGATTATATTGATAACTAATTTTTAAATTTTTTTTGGGATAGCTATAGTTATGGAAAGTTTTAATATGCTGAATCAAAATGCTGCTATATTACATGTTTGTTCATTTGGGCTTATGAAAGGAAAAACTGTGAGTACAATTTATACATATGAATCTTGTAATTTTTTCCTGAATCCCTCTCTTGAACCCCTACTCAGGTATGCAAGGACGGTTTTATTTACTGTCACACTTAGTAAATTCCACATCAAGTCACTCAAATTTAGAAAATTTTGAACCATAGATCCTCATGTTTTTTCTAACTTCTTTTGCTTTTGTATGTTACAAATAAAAATTCGCACAAAAGTTTTGACCCAAAAAGTTAAACAGTTCAAGAGATATTTCAATTTTAATATTGACCTGGTTTACTAAAATGACCCGATTTTTATTATGAAAAAACTTTTTCTTTAAAAGAATATCACTAAAATTTCAAAGTAAATTGTTAAAAAAATCTTGCTAATAATATTCTGATTAAGTATAAAATTTGGTTTATAGACTCATTAAAAGAAGAGAAAAAACAATTATTTTATATTTAAGGAAATCATAATTAGATGTCTATTTGTTTATTAAATTTTAGTAATAATATAGTTTTTTAAAAAATAATTGAACTTTTTATAAAAGCCACTCTTAGAACAATGTTTATTGGTAATATTTTAATAGAATTACAACAACTTAGCAATTTAATATACATAAATAAATATTTGCAATTACTACTAGTGCAAAACATCATGCAAAAGAAGAAATTTAAAAAGGTTTGTACTATTTCTACATTAAAAAATTTTTTTATGAAAAAATTAAGTTTAAAAGGTAAATTTATTTGGTACAGACGAGGAAGCTACTTAATTGTGGTTATAACCCTCTCTCTCAACTCTATAATTCCGAAAAATGAACCTTGACAAAAAAGGCAGCTGGGTGGAAAAAACAAGTTAAGCTCGGTATTTCCAGGGACAAAGGTGTGAAGGGAACTCTCGCTTATTAAGCGATCCCTCTACCACTACACCACTACCACATATAATAATCAAACTCAACAATGTTATGTGAAAGATATTTGAAAATAAATTCTAAATAGGAAAAAGTTTGTTGTGATCTATTCAATATACATACTAAGAAAACCACTTGTAAGTAGCTGTAAATTTACAGCTGTTTATATTTTTTAAAATTTAAATATAATTTATAAATTTTTTTTATTTCTAAAACATAACAAAATAAAGTTTTAGATAATGTGCAGATATGGTTTCTAAAACTCAATTGTTTTTAGATAATCTTGATGTTTTTACAATAAAAGAGTTTTAAGTCACAATTAGAAGTAGCTTGAATATCGCTCATGAGAAGAAACTCTGCAAACTTTGTAAACAAAACATTGCCAGATAATAAGACCCTTCAAAAGAGGAACAAAGTTGGGATGAACATGATTGTTAGGATTTTGTTATATCATCATTTAATGTAAAAAGATAGAAGATCAGCAAAGATCTCTAGAACTGTATTATTTGCTACAATCTCATTCAAAATCATCTAAACATTTCCTTTCAGAAGGAAAGCAAAACACCCAGCAGTGTTTTAATCATATATTAGTGATTTACTATAATGATGATAAAGGTGTACTAAAACATATTTATTAATGTTTTATATCAGCCGACATTACACACCATGTAACCTATGTGTACATAATATTTTTACTAATCTTACCCGCATTAAAAACAAAAATTTTCAATCTGTCTAAATTACATTTATTCACTGATTCTAGTTTAGGACAGTACAAAAAGTGTATAAGCTTTTATAATCTATTTCAAATAGGAAGTGAATTTTGTCTTTAAAGTAAATGGAACTTTTTTGCCATGTCCCACAGAGACACCATGAGATGGTATCGGCGGTATTGTAAAAAAATTGGCAGCGCAAGAAGGTTTAAAATGACCATACCATAACTATATTCTACTATTTTATTCAACACAACATATTGAAAAATCTACTTCACATGCTTGCTTTAGTTCTGGTAAAAACTTTGTGTTTTAATAAGCAGAAATAGAAAAAGTACAAGTAAAATGACAAAAGTATTGTATAGTACAATTACAAATTACAAAAGTATTGTATAGTATTACAATTACAGTCAAAATAACTTATGCTTTCAATATCTTGCAATAAAATCTTGTATATTTTCAAGTAAATTTTTAAATTAAATATTATAAAAAAATTTTTAAAAAAAGTATAAATAAAAAAATAAATAAAATATAGTTAATTTATTTTTATTGTATTTTGTAAATATTTTTTATTAGTTTCTTCAAAAAGGGATAGATTTTTGAAATTATAGTTCTATGTTAATGTTGTTTTTCCAGTTAAATTTTTAGTGACATGTAAGATTATTAGTAACAAAAAAAATTAAATGCAAAAAAATAATTAAATCAGGTGTTTTGAAATATTAGGCCCCAAAGTCATATGAACTAGTTGTTTTATTATCTTTTTATACATGGTCTTAAATTTTAAATACATTTATTAAATTCTGTACCAAAAATACATTATAAATATTTATTTTCATATTTTTGCCCTTTTTATTCTTTATTTTATTAACAAAATATATATATTTTAAATTTTCTTAATAAAAACTGAATTATTCAATAATAAAATCTTTATGAAAACAAGGTCATTTTAGGAATCTTTTCAATATTAAAATTGCCATATCTCATCAACTGCTCAATATTTTTAGCTTATATTTTGTATGCATTTTTTTTTTTTTTTTTGTAAATAGGAATGTGTCAAAACATCAAACAAAAAGGAAGACACATGGTTTAATGGACTGGGTGATTTGATGTAGAATTACCCACTAGTCATGTTCCAAGATACCACGTAAAGTTTTAGGAGCTTGAGTGTCTGAGTGTATTTAAAAAAATATATATTATCTGAAAGAAAAAGTTTTTTGAAAAAAATAAGCAGAAAAACAAATTTTAAGTAGAGAAAAAAAATGTTTTTAAAATTTATTTTGCTTAAACTTTAGGCCTTCTGGTCCCTGACAGTTTCACAGTATTCAAATTCAACAGCAGTTTAAAATAACAAAAATTTTAAAGTAACTTATATGTTCAATACCTTGAATTATCTTCTATATTTTCAACGAACTTTTTAAATTACAATTAATTTATTTTATTAACATATTTATTTTAGTAATTTCTTAAAAAAAGTGATAAGGTTTTAAGGTTTTAATGGTCCTATTGAGCTCAAATTTTAGGGTTTTTTTTATTAATATTTGCCTCAAATATAGAGTGTATGTTATTTTAGATTTAAAAGTTTCCTCAGATTGGCTACATAAAATGACTCAATGATTGATATCACCATTCTTTATATTTTTAAATTCAGTATTAGTTTTAGTATTAGCTAGACAAAAGTGTATATTCTTTTGCTGTTTCTAATATTTTAATTTTTTTAATGTTATTTTAATATATTATTTAAGCTCAAATTGATGTTTGCACTATAAATTATCAATGAGTAAAAGAATTTCATCATCACATTAAGGAAAATATATAAAAAAAAAGATAAATCAATGCATTTTTAAAATTGAATGAGAAAAGCAATTTTTGTGTATATAAACTAAATCTATAAAATTTTTGTGATCTGTTTTGAAACTATTGATGGGAAAAAATTTAATCTGCAAAGGCATTTCTAATCATTAAACATTCTTTAAATATTCTTATAGATTTGCTCTGAGAACAAGTTGTATATAAAATAAAAATGCCCAATTGGCACCTTAACAAACTTTGTTCGTCAAAACATATCAAGAAAATTGTTAAATAAAATATATCTCGTTTTATTATAAATTTCACTTCTCGTACAAAAGAAAAATGTCAGATTGTAAATTGGTAAATGAATGCCCATCAATTTTTGCTGAAAACACATAAGACTCGAGTATGAAGTAAATATCACCAAATATTGCCTTTTTACAAACTATTTTTGAAGCATTGAAAAATGTGTTTAAAATCAAAACACTTATTTGAACTAGGATAAACTCAACAATAATTGCCCTTATGGTGCACCTGCAATGGCTGAGTAGCATAATAGAGGTGTTTCTCTTCTTGGAAAATATTTAAAAAGAAACAATGAAATTGTTTTGAGAAAATTAAAGGGTTTATTTATAAAAGACAAAAAATCATTCCTGTGATTGGATTAAAGCCTAATGAGGTTTTTTTAAAAATAATTAAAAAAATTTGTTCTTTACATTAAAAAAGAAAAAAAAAAATTGCTTTGATAAATAAATTTATTATTTTAATTTTTCCCCCTCCAAAAAATTTTAAACATAATAAACTTGCTTTTACTAGCATAACAATATCAGAATAATATTATTAGACTTTATAATTTTGTTATGTTAGTAAAAATATTATTATAAGGAACAAAACTTTCAAAATACTACATCTCTCAACCTTTTTTTTCTCCCCTCTCCCTTTTTCTGGACCCTTGTCTTTATGAGTTAAAACTTAGACTTTGGGGGAATTCGGAAAAACTGCTAATCTCCTCCCCCTTTCTGCCTCACCTTCAGTTCACCCTAGTTATAAAAAAATTAGAATTTGTTTAATTTATTATTGACCCCAAAAAGACTTTAAAAATAACTTTTTACCTTAAATTAGATAGAGATAATTAAGTCATGATCAAGTCAGCAAAAGGTTGTTGATAGCATATAAGTTAGCTTTACATAAAAGGCTGCATTTAGAAAAGTTTAAGTTTTGAAAGGACAAAAAAAATATTTATTAAGATGTCGTCACCATTTTGATTGTCAAAATACCCCACAATACTTGCCAATGCACTTAATTTCTTCATTACTTCATTAAATATTGGTATTTAATGACAAAAAATATATATACTATAAGATAATTAACTAACAAGTTATTTATCTAAAAATGATGACAAAATCAAATGTATAAATTAGGTTACCGATCTAATAATTTTACTTTGTTGATCTCGAAAACTTTGCTCTACTATCATTAAAAGATTTTTTTTGTGAAATTTTTATTTTTATTTTTATGGTGTAATTAAAAAGTTAAAAAAATGTCTTAGATCCAAGTTACTTCCCATCAAAGAAATGAAATAAATAGTTGGAGGTTAAAAGCAGTGAAAATTGAAAAAGAAATTGAAGCCAAAAAGAAGGAACAAATAATAAACCTTATGCAAAAAGTTACATTGATCGAACAACAACTTCAGGTCTTGATTTAAATTTTTTTTGTCATAATTTTGTTTTTTCTTTCTTACTTTTATTGTAATTATTATTATGTTATTAATATATAGAAAAATTTTTGCTATATTTAAAATATATATACTTTTTTGTTTCATGTTTAATTAATTTTTATATATTTAATTTAATTAGAAATTCAGTATCGAAGCACAAAAAGGTAAATTTGATATGAATCATAATTCATTTGATATGAACCATAATTCTTTAGTTGAAGAATCTTTTCAGACAACAAGGGATCTTTTGCCAATGTCACTTGAAAGTGTAGATTTTAAATTATTTGCTCCAAAGTCTAAGCCAACACAAGATAATTTAAATGATTATTCAAAAACAATTGGTGAAAACACAAAAACATTAAATGTAACAAATAAAAATGATTTGATTACTTCTATTGTAATCAAAAATGAAGCAGTTTTAGATAGAAGTTTGGTACCAGAAGTTGTAGAGCAAATGAAAAGCTTACATGTGTTGTTAGAAAAACAAAAAGAATTAGATATTTGGTATGAAGATATGCAAAGACAGCTAGAAATTGAACAAATTCGTTTAAAAGATAAATACAATGAAATCAGATTAAACAATATAAAAGAACAACACAAGCTTATAGAAAACAGTCGAGAATTTTTAACAAATGCCAGTTTGTGCTTTAGCGCAGGTTTAAAAGCAACTTCTCATGAAAGTTCTGATTTAGTACATACCTCTAAATATTTAACACACTCTAATCATCCACCTAGAGAAGGTAAACTTGACAAACAATTGTTTGAAAAATCATATGAAATTGCTAACTCTCCATTCAGTTCGAAAGTTAAACGGGTATTGCCAACACCCCCGCCATCCCTTACTCCTCCTCCATTTGATGAAAAGAAAAATACAGAAGATAATACATTGTTGAGTTCAATACCAACTGTTAATGAGATATCTCATGATTTTACGATCCCAAACCTTCCTTTTGATCATGACTGCACAGACAATTATAAAAGTGATTGCGTTAAAAAATATAATAATGCAGATATAACATTAACTGGTTCAACGTTATTTCAATCTTCCAACGATTTCATGAACAGAAGAAAAAGTCGTCCTATAAGATTTTTTCAAACTCCAGATAAATTTTCCATTGAAAAAGATAAAAGTGACCAGAAGAGTTATTTTGATTCAACATCAACCCCACAAGATAGTTGGGCATCTACAGTTAAACATGTTAATCAAAGTTTTTCTCCCGTTCGCAAAGACACTTCACCTAATGCTTCTTTTCTCAAACCAACTACTTTACATTATGTAAGATTTTGTTTCATTTTTGACATTTTTAAAGTTTTTGTTTTGATTTTAGCTTTAAAATTAACATATTATATTTTGAAAAAAAAGTTAAAAAAATGTCTAAAACTTTTATATACTGTAAATAAGTTTTAAAAATAAGTTTTAAAAATAAGAATTTTTAATACTAAAAAAGTCTAAGACATAAAAATTAATTACTTTATTATAAAAATTGCTCTTAGATAATATTAATTTAATATAAATTTTTTTAATTTGCTTTTAGTCTTTCAAAAACATAGACAAAGTTATTGCTTTATCAAAAGGTTTTTTGACGCGTCGACTATTGAAGACATCAAAAGTTATTGAAATAGTAAAGACTATAAGGGTATAGTATTTTTATTATAAACATTTTTGAGTTGTTGTAATAAGAATATAAAGTTATATATATATAACTATATAATATATATATATATATATATATATATATATATATATATACATATATATATATATATATATATATATATATATATATATATATATATATATATATATATATATATATATATATATATATATTAGGGTGCAGTGAAACTTTAGGTGAAAATATAAATATTAAATTATTGATATGTAATAGCAAAAAAAAGTTGCCTTTTGATATGTGTTCAAATAAAGTGAATAAAATTTCCTCAAAATTTTAATGTCTTCAGCTGCTTCAAGGGGGTCAAAGTTACTGAAAAGACGTTTGCTGCATTAGCAAACGTCTGTGACCGGTATGGGATCTCAGATAGAGCCGGAGCTGCAATAGCAAATGTAGTTTTGGAAGACTTTAGTGTTGTTAATCAACAAGATACCTCTTATGTTGTTGATCCAAGTAAACTATGACGGGAGCGTAAGAGAAAACGTAATCAACTAAAAACTTCTAAAAATTCAAAAATAGTTCGAGGAATTTTTCATCCATCAAAAATTATTTTGATGGACGAAAAGACAAAACTCTTGAAAACATCAAGGAAGGTTTAAAGTTGAAAGGAATTTGGTATCAAGGAAGGGTTAAAGTTCCATCGACGAAGTATTACTCAAGAGCACATCTCTTTAATAGACGAACCAGGGTCTAAATACCTTGGGCATTTATCACCATCTGGATCGTCTGCCTATTTGATAAAAAGTTCTATAGTCAATTTTATAACTATCAAAAATATTGACGTTAAAAAGTTTGTAGCTGTTGGATCTGACGATCAGATCATCAACTGGAAATAAAATAAAATAACCGAGCCACCGTTGACAGCTGATGAGGCTTTGCTGGCTGTATGTGGAGAAAAAATTCGAGCTGGTTTTATTCGATCGCGTTTACATGCACGTGTTTAACACAAAGTCAGAATATCGTGCTTTCGAACCAATAAATGGGTAGAGTGTAATGACAGATTTTCTAAAACTTGATTGTGTATGTTAAAATAATTAATGAATAGATATTTTTGTTTCACCCTTTAACTTGTTATAGACTTGCTGACTTACTAACTTGCTAATCTGCCACAGTGACAAAGAGAGGGAAGGGGAAGCGCAGAGGACCATGTCCCCTAATTATTTTCAAAAAGACCTTTTTTTATTTTTACAAAGTCGGTGTTTAAAGTAGTACTTATTGACATTTTAAATTTTTTTAATGAATTGATCCCAATCCGCCCCCCTTTTCCCCACGAAAGTGTCACGCCTTGAAATATATAACCTTGAAAGGTCATCGAAATATGTTCATATTAGATAAAAAAGAATGACATATATGTCATTCTTTTTAATTATTACAGTTTTTTCTGAAAGAATTTGACAAAAAAGTATAATCTTTAATCAAAAAAAATAATTGACTAAAACAATCAATTGTCATAAAAAATACCTCTTTTTAGTAATTTTGTCCCCTATGACGCAGCTGAAGACATTGAAATTTTTGAAAATTTTTTTTTCCATGTTTGAACACTTACTAAAAGACAACTTTTTTTTGCTATTACATATAAATATTCCACTTTTAATTTTTTCACTGCACTCTAATATATATATATATATATATATATATATATATATATATATATATATATATATATATATATATATATATATATATATATATATATATATATATATATATATATATATATATATATATATATATATATATATATATATATATATATATATATATATATATATATATATATATATATATATATATGGTACTATGTTGTATTTTTAATTAAATACTAGGATACAGCTGCTTTTCTTGAAGGAATGAATAAAGAAAACAAACCGATTAACCATGCTGATAAGCAAATGATCAATCGACTTCATGAAGAGGTTTATTATAAATGTTATATATGTATATATATATATTTATTTTTTTTGTAATAATTTTTTATTTACCATCTTCAAATTTTTACATGCATATACTACACTGTTTTGTCAACAAGAGAAAAATGATAGTCAGCTTTTTTTATCTATATTTTTGAGAAATGTGGGCTTTTTTTTGTTCAACAAATTTACTCCTAACCATGCTACAAGTAACCACTATCTAAAAAGGAAGTTGCCATAGTAATCATAGAAAAGAGTTAACAAACTAGAGAATGTTTAACAAAAGTATTTATAACTATAAATTATACAAATTGTATCAGTTAAATTAGAATAGCATTGAGACTGTAAAGAGAGTTCTAAAGCATTGATGTTTAAGGAAAAAAACTGAATGAGCAATAAAAGATTACAATAAAATGATACAACTTTGCTGAATGACAAGTATTACAAAATTGGAATTTTTAATTAATGGAATGTTTAGTTATATGAATAGCATCTGTAGAAAAACTATTCAACTTTATGACAATGAGACAAAGGGTCAAGCTCAGCACTATATTAACTATAATTACGATTAAAATTAACAATATATTAACTATTTACAATTTTGACTATTTACTTTTTTACACTTCTTCTACACTTTTGAAATCTAAAGATAAAGAGTATCATTATTCAAAGAGCTTAAATATGAAATTGGTGTATGATATATGGATAAACAAAAGGTGCACAGAAAGAGAGTATTGAATTTGCAGTAAAAAAATTTGCACAATAGAAAAAGGAAATCTTTGCAGTTACTAACTTTGCAGTAATTGTATATATAGTTTTTATGGGAAATCAAAGTAGTAAGAAATCTGAAAAGATAAAGGTGTGAGTATCTGAAGAAGAAAAAAAAATGAAATAAAAAATATATATATAAATTTTATTTCAATTCACCTCCCTAAGGCTGTGAAGGCCACTATAGTTGAGGAGGCTACTTTGTGACTCATGAATTTAAACCCTAAAAAAATTTTGTTGTTTACTATTAATATTTTTCACAATATTTTTGATTAATATATTGTATCTATACTAATAAATGACACTTACTAAGTCCTCTACTTTACGATTTTTCAGATTATCATTCAAGTGGCTTCTCGTGGAACCATATATAAAATTAATTGCAAAGTTAATATCTGTAAAGGTTGATTCTCTTTATCATACTTGTTATTTTCTTTTTCCTGATTCTATTTCCTATCTTTATAAATCTCTTATAAGGTTCTTTTAAACAAGGTCCAAAACTGTAATGAAATATTGAGAATTCTTGTTCCATAAACCAAAAGTCAATCCTATGCAACTCATCATTTAGCAAAAATACATTCTTTTCTGTTCCTTCATGCTTAAAAATTTTTTATCTAGTTTTTTTCCCGCAAGTATTGGTGCTTTGGAATTCTAAAATCAATTCTCATGTTATCAATTAATTTTTTGTCTGCTTTTTTGCTTTAAAATTCTTTTTTTTTTTTTTGCAATTAATTTCTAATCTGAATGATTGCTTGCGGTCTTTTTGGGGCTAAATTTGTTTAAAAAAAAAATTAAAAAGTTTATTGTTAAGTTCTGTAAAATACTTTTGAAAAACTGTGATAGAAATGTTGTCCAAACCGCAAACCACAAAAACTAACTAAGAATTTAAGTGAGCAATGGAAACTATGATAAGTAAACAATGGAAGCTTTGACAATAGAACATTTTTGACAATAGAGCAATTTGGATTTCAAAAAATATAGTTGGATGTCAAACAATATAGTGGAGTTAATAGATTCAAGAGATGAATTAATGGAAAAGTTTTTTGCAAATAGTTCTGCACATTCCTTTAAAGAGATGATAAGATCAGTTCCATATATGAGAGATAAATTTTTAGGCTTTCCTTTATTAATGACACTGGTTTTTCTTTATTTTAAAAATCTTTATTTTTTCTTGGTCCAGTAATTCAGGTTAGGACACAGGTCCAGGTTGGTTCTTGGTTTTTCTGGTGTCCTGGAGCTCTAAAAGTGTTGAGTCATTATTTATACAATTCTACAAAATCTACAAAAAAAATTTCATGAAACACTATGTAGTAGAATAAGGCTAGAATTAAATTGAGTTGAAAATTATGAATCAAGAATCTTAGTAAGCTTTAAGGAAGTATTAAGAAGTTTGATTAAAAGGTGAATCTGATGAAGAAAAAATTAAAAATAAAATTGGTGAGATTATAGCATAGTCTGAATCACCTAAGAGAAAATAAAAAGAAACTGAGCACAAGCTAGAATCAGAGACACAAATCCAGGATAAGTGATTAAGGTTGTGTGGAAAATGAGTCAATAAGACTAACTTAACAAAAATTGACAAATACAAAAATTTATTGTCAGCAGGGTCAGTGGAACTACTGCTAATTTATGCAGTGTTATAAACAATTAAGTCATTATAAACTACAACATTGGCTGATAGATAAAGAAAAAAGCTTGGTCTATTTAACAGGGAGAAGTAAGAAAACAATAATAAATAAAGAAAAAGGCGATTAAGTGAATAGGTTCTACAGAAACCACATAAAAGAATATTCAGAGAAATCAATCCATAAATAATGATTAATAGGCAATTTTGTATGTCTAGTCAAACATATGAGTATTAGAGTTTTTGCAAACTAAAGGAAAAAAGCCATCAACATTGAGAAAATAAAATAGGTAAGTTTTAATTAGTCTTGCAATGAGAAAATAAGTCTAGTAATGTTTGTAAGAATTAAGATTCAAGGTATGAATAATTACTTTGAAGAATTTGTAAAAAAAAAAAAGACAGTTGTTGGTTTTTTATTTTTTAAATATTTTTAGGTACATTAGTTATGTTTTAAATTATAAAAAAATTAGACACATTCATAGACAGTACTTGACACCTTTAACAATCATAGATAGTACTTGACACCTTTAGCAATAATTTATGCAATTCCCCCATCATGCTAATCAAGTTCAAGTTGTAGTAATCAAGCTCATGTTGTTAATCAAGTTCAAGTTGTTGCAAAAGGTTATTTATGTGATCTTGATAATGTACATCAAAAACACAAACAGGAGTATCATCCATGCACAAAATAGCATTGTGAATAAGCAAATACTTTACAGCTGTTGGTGAAATCAGATTCTCTAAGAGCTATCACAAAAATTTAGAAAATCCTTTTACCAGCCGGCCTCAAAACCAAAAACTTTTTAGTTAAATTTTATAGTAAATATATTTTAGAGCTGTATCCTTAATAAGAGATGACAGAGTTGCATAGCCAATACCAAGGTCATTATCATAAAGCAAAACAATGTAACACAGATTTACATCAACACTAGCAAAGATAAGAAAGGTTGCAAAATTGGTGAGCAGAAATTTTCTGCCAACCACAAAGTTTTTGCCTTAGAGGCTATCTACAACGCTGTAGCCGAATGCAGTTAATATCTGGCCGAGGTGATTTTTTTTTATTGAAATGCGATTTTTAGTCTTTATTCAATGCAATTTGAAATCAAAATATTTTAGTCTAAAACCCTCCTGAAAAAATTTTCTCATTATTCAAATAGATTTCTAATATAATTTATAATTATTCAAATAAATACATCATTCAAATAGATTAAACATTAGAGTGCATCATTCATATTATAAACATTAAATACATCATTCATATTATAAACATCAAATACATCATTTATATTATAAACATTAGAGTAGTAATGAAGCTGAATAATCTGTTCAAAGTGACAATAAAATTTCTCAGAAAATTTTTATGTTGTTTCAAAACTAATTTTAATTAATTGTTTATTTCCAGCTGTTTAGTAAGCGTCAGAAATTGCACGATATCTTTTTTAATACAACCATTGCAGAACAAATGAAGCTGCTCTCTATTTCTCGTATGCAAGCTAGAGAAAAAATGTTTTCACAATCAAAAGCATACAGTAAAGTAAACTTTTTATTATTTTTAATTTAAATGACAATAAAAAATGACAAACATTATTTATATTATATTAATGTATTACTTGTATATTTTAGAGGGAAGCCTGGTCTCCAAACATTAACAAAAAATTGTCAACTGCATCACAGAGAACTTTACAAAGAAAACTTCAGTATCTTTGAGTATATATTATATACACATATTTTCCCTAATTCTAAAGGTTGCATATATATATATATATATATATATATATATATATATATATATATATATATATATATATATATATATATATATATATATATATATATATATATATATATATATATATATATATATATATACCCTTTGGGGCTCATCATCATGATAGTGTAGATACCCAACTTAAGTACGCACATTAGCTCACCTTCTTGACAGATATTTCGGTATCACATTATCACGCTGATGAGCCCCAAAGTGCAAAACACGCCTGTGATTGTGATATACACTGAGTTAATTAGACGATCATACTCCTTATTATTATATACACCAAATTTCTGTACTTATTGTTACTAGTCTATGTGAGTACTCATTCTGTAATTGGTACTTTTTCATATATATATATATATATATATATATATATATATATATACATATATGTAACCAAAAAACAATCCAAATATCACAAAGAAAAGTTTCATTATAAGATAGCTGTTGTTTATGTTGTTTATATATATATATATACACATATATATATATATATATATATATATATATATATATATATATATATACATATATATATATATATATGTATATATATATATACATATATATATATATATATATATATATATATATATATATATATATATATATATATATATATATATATATATATATATATATATATATATATATATATATATACATATGTATATATATATATATATATATATATGCATATATATATACATATATATGCATATACAGTAAACCCCTAATATTTCTAACCTCCAAAAGACCAAGATATTAGTTCCAGTTAGCGAATGTTCGAATTATCGGGAACATAATAAATAAAGGTTCAATGGGGATTTAAATATCCATATTAATACCAAATAAAGGTTCAATGGGGATTTAAAATTAGTTCAAGTTACTGGAAGTTCGAGTTATCAAGGGTCCTAGATATCAGGAGTTTACTGTATATACAAACACACATATAAGTTACACACAAAATAAATTCAAAAGCTTTATACATTGTTGACAAGATTTTTTTAGCGTTAATTGGGTTTAAAAATAGTAACAACTATTTTTAAACACAATATTTAATTCTTAAGGTTTTGATACCACTACTTTATACAAGTGAGAATGTTTTTAAAAATTTTAAACTTATGGCAGATTTTTTTAATTTATATATATATATATATATATATATATATATATATATATATATATATATATATATATATATATATATATATATATATATATATATATATATATATGAATAAAAACAACTTATGATGGTACTTTAAGTTTCATGTCTTTTAACAATCATCGTATTGTCATAATTCGTCAGGTAAAATCCGTTTAAAAAATGTAAATTAAAATTACCGTGGAACGAGTTCTGATGTTACAAGCAAACAAAACAAAAAGACATCAAATATTTTAGTCCCCGGTGTCGAATAAAGAAAGCAAAAATTTCTTTGAATGCCGGCACTTTGATATTATTTCATATTTTTTATTAAGTTTTATCCTCTGTATAATAAAATATGAAATTTCTCGCTGAGACAAAGATTACAAACTTTTGACGCTTGATTCAGGGCTTACATTGTGCTATTGTCTTCCATGTAATCACAGGTTATATATTTTAAGATTTTAGTTTCCATATTTCTTTGAAATGTTTAGTGTCATTTTTAAATTTGGGTTCATTGAAAGATTTAAGATGGTTGGCATATTTTAATTTAAATGCGGTTTCACTTATACCAAAATAAACTTCATTTTTGAATTCAGGGTCTCTAGAACTTACAGTGGCTTGGTATGCGATATTGTTAGAAAGGCTTTGGTTACTAATGCTCAAATCTTTTTGTCTATGCAGTTGCATTGTTTTGATGTTATATATTTATTATTTTTTAATTAGCATTTCAAATTATTTTTATAATTTAGTGTTTAGTTTTTTTTTTTTAACAATTATAAACGATATGATAAACGAAGCCAAACTCCCGTGAAGTTACTTGGTCCACATAACACTAATTCAAGTCCAGGTTTCAAATCTCAGCCTCTCGAGAACAAAAATTCAGATAAGTTAGTTTTTTTAAATGCTTTATTTTATTAAAATTTAAAAACTTTATAATTATCATATTAATTAATTATACTTATTTTTTATATTTTATCGTTATAAAATATTTATACTAATTCATATTATATTTATATTATTGTTATAAAGATAAAAACATTTCTAACAAAACAGCTTTTTTTATAATGTTGCTTTGATAACTTGATATGTTGCAGAAAAATTTTCTAATCAGGGATCGTCCATAAATTACATAACGCGAAAGGAATTTAAAAAATAGAGGTAGAAGCAGGGCCGTCCCGAAGAGGTATTCCATTGGGGGGGGGGGGAGACAGGGTTGAGTTGTGTGTATTTTTTGCCAAATAGAAACACCAAAAGGGAAAAAAAAAGGTCCTCAATATTTCCAATTTGCTAACTATAGTTCAAAGCTTGCTCTATGTGCCAAATCAAATGCTTATATGACAGCTTTGTGGGGGTGGATCACCCCCTACACCCCCGTTCGGGGCGGTCCTGATTAGAAGACCATTTGCTCTTTTGTGCAGCGGTTTTCATTCAACTTAAAATGCTTTAAGCGCTTTAAATTGAAAGTCGCTGTTTATATACATATAAATCAGCGACTCCCAACCTTTCCAAATCCGTGACCGGTTTATATATTTGCCAATTTGTGGCGACACCGACAATAAAAATAATAAGATTGCTCCTAAATCGCTGCATTTTTGCCGCTAACTTTTATGTTTTTCGACTTCTAATTATCTGATTTGCTGCTAACTTTTATGTTTTTCGACTTTGATTTTGATTATAGGTAAAAGTTATAGGCCTTTTTTTTGTTAGAAGTTTTTTTGATTGATTTTATAATAATTTATCAACAAAATTATATGTCTTGGTTAATATTTGTAAAGGAATAAAGTTTTTACATTTATAAATATAAATAGACATTTTTATATTTATAAGTAGACATATTTATATGTTTTATGTATATTTTATATTTATAAATATACATTTTATAAAGCTTAAAACTTAAAAGTTTGTGTGTTACTCCCTAATTAAAGTACTACATGTCACATTGCACAATGCACACTTAAAATATTGTAAATTTTACGATATTTTAGGTGTACATTGTGCAATGTACATTAAACAATTAAGAGTCACACGCAATTGAAGCCAATAACTTTAAAGATGAGTTAATTAAAATTGTAAATAAGTGCACTGTAGTCAGATTAGGAGTATAGTTTAAATTTAAAATAATAAAAAGAAACCGTAAACAAATTATTTTCAGTAATGGTAATGGTGACCCCTGGCAAATTGTCAGGCGACTTTAGGTTGGGAACCGCTGATGTGAATGTTTTTAATGTCTAAAGTCATTTTAACTTTTATTGCTTACAGAAAATTTAAACCTATTCAAAGTCGTTGTTCTCCTATACTTGTCAGGTATTGATTTTTTTTTTCTTTTTCAAAATCCTTCTACATGATTATAGAGTTAACATTGCAAAAATAATTAATTTTTTTTTTTTTGCTAATTTTTTTAGGCCTAAAGCAGATAACTTGAAAAAAGAATCGAAAAAAAAAGCTAATGCGAAATTAAATATCGTATCTGTTTCTAAAACATATACGAAAAAAAGAATTTACGATTCATTCGAAAAAGGAATCTTGATGTCGGATTAGTATAATGCCAATTTATTTCATGAATTTATTAGCACTGTGCTTACGCTATAACGCGTGGCTGCCATGGATATCTCAAGATAAGAGTGGCGAAAAAATTTCCATTTTGTTTTGTCTTACTTAGTATACTTTGGTTCTATCCTAAAGACAACCACTTGCGTTTTTTTTAAAAGAATTTGATTATTTATTTCAATAGTTGAAATTTTATTATGTATTTATTTATTTAAATTTGAAAGCGCCTTTTTTCTAAAAAAAGTCTTAAGAATTGTTTAATTTTTTTTTTCCTTATAATTTTTATGCTAAAATTATTAAATGATTCTTAAACATCAATATTAAGACGTTATTTGCAAGAATTATTCCTTCATGAATTATTCCTTCAATGCTTTTATTTCATTGGTTGAAATTTTATTTTTTATTTAATGACAATGAATTTTTACAAGAAAGTAATTGTCATTCTTAAAGTAGATTTTGTAATGTGTACTCAGATACACTTTGAATATAAAATGCTAATTTATTGAGATAAAAAAATATTATTTTTATAAATTTATATTTTATACTTTTTGTTTCAATCAATATATTATACTTTTTGTTTCGATCAATTGCAACTACCTTGGAAAGGGGGTTCAAATATAATACACTAGCATCAAATTTAAACAATTCTGATTCAATAAAGAAATTGATTTTTTTAAGTTCTATTATTTTGCTATAAATATTTTATAAAAAAATTAAAATTCAAGATAAAATATATCTTTTTTCATTAAATGAGTTTGCTCTCGACAATTTTGTAAGCAAGCACCATTCAAATTGGAATTTAACGTAAACCGAAGATAAGGGGTCATCCATAAAGTACGTCACGCTACTAGGGGGGGGGGGGAGGCATAAGTTTGTGACAATTTGTGACAAGGGGGGAGGGGGGAGTTTGACGAATGTGACATCACAAAAATTATTTATCATGATTATTTTCTACTTATTTACTCATTCAATTAAAGGAGTATTTCCGATTGCCTAAAATTTTACTTACACTTCTTATGTTTTGCGTATCGCCGTATTTTAAATAGTTTTGAATAGTTTAAAAAGTTCGCAAAAAACTGCCTTCACGTTTCTGAAGACATTAAAGCGCAGCAATGCAAAATCATTAAATTAAGAACGTATAATTTAAGTTTGGAATTTTAAATAGAGAGTTTAAATAAGTAAATAAAACATTTTTAAAATATTATCTTTTATATTATTTATTTTTTTGAATCTTATGGCATTATATAAACATAAGAGTTTTAGTTATATTTACATTTAAGCAAGAATATATGACTACTTAAATATATAATATATAATAACTAAGTTAAATAGACTTGCTCATGCTTTGAATAGCCAATAGCAAACAAAGATTATTATCAAATAATAGTGTAAATAGGATAGAAGCTAGTTAGCGCTCAGTATAACTAAGTTAGTAGTAATTGATATTATGGCATAAATACAATATTTTTAATTTCTCTAAATGAGTGCAAATGTGTTTCAGGCAATTCATAATATAAAGATGCACAAAGGACAGTTATACGCATCACTTTATGATGTCTATGTTAAGGCATATTCACAGAAGAGGAAACAAGATTGTCAAAAGGAAGTTAATGATATTTGGAGTAAGGTGAAATCTGAAGATAATCTTTCTGCAAAAGTAGACTCCCTGTTAAGAGAATATGATGCTCTGTTTAAAAAGAAAAAAGGTACACTGATGAGTTTCTGGGCAAATCAATCATTACGACATGATGATGCGAAAACTATACCACGTAAATCATCGGCTCCGGATGTTCTAGCAAAATTACCAGATACTGTTGTAGGGGGTAATAAATGTAAAGCTTCTTCTTGTGAATGTTCTGTGATAACTTCATCAACGTCTGGTTCTGAAAATGTAGGAAAATATAAAACAAAAGTTCAAGATGAACTAAAAGTTAAAATTGATGTTATCAAGAGTGATTTAGTTGGACTACATAAAAGAAAAGACAGTGGTATTATTACGAATGATTAAGAAGCAGAGCTTATTGAGAAAAGAAGAAAAGTAGATATGTTGGAGAAAAGTTTGTTAAAAAAAAAGAAAGAACAAGCAAGACAGAAAAAAACTAGAGCAAAAAAAAGAGAAACTCTCGCTAAAATTTGCGCAGAGAACCCTGGAGTTTGTGATGCTTTGAAAGCAAAAGATAAAACAGGTCGACCTTCTGTTGAAATTAATCAACCACTTTTCCTGAAAGCCATTGTTGATATTGCTTTACATGGATCAGCTGCACATGAAAGACGACAAAGTGATATGTATCGCAGTATTAAAACACTAGATGAATTGACTAAGCAACTAAATAAAGATGGTTATCAGGTGAGTAGGAGCACCGTTTACACTCGGCTAATGCCACGACGAAGTTCAACTTTGGAAGGAAAAAGACACATATCAACAGTGCCAGTCAAATTGATCCGATCTCAGAATGAGTCACACTCAAAGCACATCGATGGAAAATTCTGTACAGCAACCTTGAGACACCTGGAAGAGTTGTCGTCTATACTGGGACCAAAAGAAGTCTGTTTTATTAGCCAAGATGACAAAGCGCGAGTCCCTATTGGGTTAACAGCTGCAATCAAACAAGCTCCATTGCTTATGCATGTTGAATATCGCATCAATTTGCCAGACCACGATTGGGTTGTTGCAGCAAGACATAAGCTTATTCCATCAGTATATGCTGGAATTTGCATCAAGAAAGATGGACTTGGTAAACCAGACGCTGTTACGTATTCAGGTCCAACTTATATTGCAATCCGATCAGGCAAACATTCGTCTTCTTCTGCTCTTGCTCATGGTTTAGACTTTGAGAGATTGTTACAATTAGACGAATTTGATGCAATAACAAAAGACGGCAGAGATAAGATAATAAAGCCTATTGTTGTCTTTACGATGGATGGAGGACCAGATGAAAATCCACGTTATCAAAAAGTCATAGATGTTGCTATCCACCATTTTGTTAAAAATAATCTAGACGCCTTATTTATTGCAACCAACGCGCCAGGTAGAAGTGCTTTCAATAGAGTGGAACGTCGAATGGCTCCACTGAGCAGAGAACTTTCTGGTGTTATATTGCCTCATGAACGCTATGGTAGCCATCTCGATTCACAGGGCAGAACAATAGATGATTATTTGGAGAGAAGAAATTTCAAGTATGCTGGACAAACATTGGCTGAAATATGGTCACAAGTTATTATTGACCAGTTTCCAACAGTTGCCGAGTTTATTGATCCAGAGACATCTGAGCTAGATGCAGAAGAATTGATAATTAAAGATATAAAATGGTTTTCTGAACACGTCCGCACAAGTCAATACTTTACTCAAATTGTTAAATGTCAAGATGTAAAATGTTGCTTTAAAATAAGAAGCTCATATTTCAATGTTGTTCCTTCGCGATTTTTATGTCCTCCAATTCCAGTTATTCAAACAAGTAATGGTCTTCAAGCTGACAAAAGAGGAGACAGTGAGTCTCATAAGTATCCATCACTTTTTGTTTCACATAGTATTAAAATAGATGATATAATGGCCAGATCGGCAGGAAGTTTCCAAGTTCATCCTTATGATCTCTTTTGTCCATCAGTACAGACTTGTCTATTGAATCAAATATGCAAAGTTTGCCATCTCTATTTTGCTTCTCAAGCTATCTTGAAAAAACATGTTGAATTGCACAAAAATTGCGATAAAGGAAATACTGTTCTTGAGAAAACTCAAACAAAGCGTATTAGACCAATAAGAGTAGCCGCTAGAAGACAAAGAGAGCTGATGGTAGTTATTGCTCGAGAAAAAAATGAAGATATAGAGTGGCTGGATGAAGACGAAGTTGATGTTTCGGGAATTGTCATTCCAGATGAAGATTTAGAAAAAACATCAGAAATGCCTGTCCTAACTATAGACGAACACTTCAAATCTCCGTGGATGGATAATAATAAATGGGTAGATAAAGTAAAAGTTTAATTTGTAATTTGAAAAACATAAGGTTCAAATAAAAAAACTATTTTTATTTTATTTTATGATGACAATCTTTCCCAATAAATTAAGAAGGTATTTCAAATTAGTTAAATTGAGTCTTTTTTATTCTGTTAAATAGCTATTACTATGTTTTTAGAATGTTGAAAATTCCGTAATGGTTTGTTTTTTTTTTTAGAGGGGGGGGGGGGGGGAGAAACATGTGACATACTTTTTTAGGGGGGGGGGGGTGCAGAAATATGTGACAGTTTGTGACAGGAGGGGGGGAGGGGGTTGAAAATTGAAAAAAATAGCGTGACATACTTTATGGACGACCCCTAAGAGTTTAAGTGAGTAACCGTTTGACATAAATTTGAAAAAAACATAACCTTGTCAAATAAGGATGCTTTCCAAAAAAATTGCGATAATTGAAACCTGGGAGCAACAAGTTGATAAAATGTTTATAATTTCTGCCTTTCTTCTTATTTTTTTATATATACACACACACACACATATATATATATATATATATATATATATATATATATATATATATATATATATATATATATATATATATATATATATATATATATATATATATATATATATATATCAAAAGATGCTTTTGCTTTAAGATTAAAATTGGCTGTTATTTACACTAACAGAGACTCATTATTCGCAGAGTTATGACAATTTTCCATCTTTTTTTTTTATTATGAGTTTGTGTTCATTGCTTCACTCCACAAGTTTTTCCTATTTTAACTAATAAATTAAGGCTGATAAAATAGCTTAAAATTGAAAAAAATCGAAATTTATGAATTTACATACGTTGCAATTATAACACTATTTTCTGTGGAATTAAGATAAAATTATGATGTATTCAGTTAGTTTTTTTATTCGATAATTTTTTAAAACTAATTTTTGTTGTTGTTAAAAACCTGATGAAGGGCCACAACAAGAGGCTGCTTCATTATGCTTATAATCCTCTCAAATCTTTAACTCCGAAACACACACTTTGACAAATAAGGTCGCTGGGTGGAGAAATAAGTTGAGCGCGGTACTACTAGGGACGTGGTGAAGATCGAATTCAAAACTTCTTGCTTACCAAGCGAGCGCTCTACCAATACGCCATTATCGCATTAAATTATTATTTTATTATATAGAAAAAACCTTGGAGTGGAACATAAGAAATTTTCAAAAAACCTATATGTATTTATTGATAATTTTTTTCAATTTGCAATTATTTTATAGTTATGTTTTTATTTTAAAATAATTTTTTTATAACA